TGTAACCTACAAGGGTAGAAACATTAGATTGGCAACAGACCTATCCACAGAGACCTGGCAGGCCAGAAAGGACTGGCATGATATATTCAGAGCACTAAATGAGAAAAATATGCAGCCAAGAATACTCTATCCAGCTAGGCTGTCATTGAAAATAGAAGGAGAGATAAAAAGCTTCCAAGACAAACAAAAACAAAAGAAATTTGCAAACATGAAACCAGCCCTACAAGAAATCTTGAAAGGGGTCTTCTAAGCAAAGAGAGACCCTAAAAGCAACATAGACCAGAAAGGAACACAGACAATATACAGTAAGAGTCACCTTACAGGCAATACAATGGCACTAAATTCATATCTTTCAATAGTTACCCTGAATGCAAATGGGCTAAATGCCCCAATCAAAAGACACAGGCTATCAGATTGGATAAAAAAACAAGACCCATTGATATGCTGTCTGTGAGAGACTCATTTTAGACCCAAAGACACCCCCAGACTGAAAGTGAGGGGGTGGAAAACCATTTACCATGCTAATGAACACCAAAAGAAAGCTGGGGTGGCAATCCTTATATCAGACAAATTAGATTTTAAACCAAAGACTCTAATAAGAGATGAGGAAGAGACTATATCCTACTTAAAGGGTCTATCCAACAAGAAGATCTAACAATTGTAAATATCTATGCCCCTAACATGGGAGCAGCCAATTATATAAGGCAATTAATAATAAAAGAAAAGAAAAACATTAACAACAATACAATAATAGTGGGGGACTTTAACACTCCCCTCACTGAAATGGACAGATCATCTAAGCAAAAGATCAACAAGGAAATATAGACTTTAAATGACACACTGGACCAAACGGACTTCACAGATATATTCAGAACATTCCCTCCCAAAGCAACAGAATACATATTCTTCTCTAGTGCCCATGGAACATTCTCCAGAATAGATCACATCGTAGGTCACAAATCAGGTCTTAACTGGTACCAAAAGATTGGGATCATTCCCTGCCTATTTTCAGACCACAATGCTTTGAAACTAGAATTCAATCACAAGAGGAAAGTCAGAAAAAACTCAAGTACATGGAGGCTAAAGAGCATCCTACTAAAGAATGAATGGGTCAACCTGGAAATTAAAGAAGAGTTTAAAAAATTCATGGAAACCAATGAAAATGAAAACACAACTGTTCAAAATCTTTGGGATACAGCAAAGGCAGTCCTAAGAGGAAAGTATGTAGCAAAACAAGCCTTTCTCAAGAAACAAGAAAGGTCTCAAATACACAACCTAACCCTACACCTAAAGGAGCTGGAGACACAAGAGCAAATAAAGCCTAAACCCAGCAGGAGAAGAGAAATAATAAAGGTCAGGGCAGAAATCAATGAAATAGAAACCAAAAGAACAGTAGAACAGATCAACGAAACTTAGGAGCTGGTTCTTTGAAAAAATTAACAAGATTGAGAAACCTCTGACCAGACTTATCAAAAAGAAAGGAGAAATGACCCAAATCAACAAAATCATGAATGAAAGAGGAGAGATCACGACCAACACCAAAGAAATACAATTATAAGCACATATTATGAGCAACTATATGCCAGCAAATTAGATAATCTGGAAGAAATGGATGCATTCCTAGAGATGTATCAACTATCAAAACTGAACCAGGAAGAAATAGAAAACCTGAACAGACGTATAACCACTAAGGAAATTGAAGCAGTGATCAAAAATCTCCCAACAAACAAGAGCCCAGGGCCAGATGGCTTCCCAGGGGAATTTTATCAAACATTTAAAGAAGAATTAATACCTATTCTTCTGAAACTGTTCCAAAAATTAGAAATGGAAGGAAAACTTCCAAACTCGTTTTATGAGGCCACCATTACCTTGATCCCCAAACCAGACAAAGACCCCATCAAAAAGGAGAATTACAGACCAATATCCTTGATAAACACAGATGCAAAAATTCTCACCAAAATACTAGTCAATAGGATCCCACAGTCCATTAAAAGGATTATTCACCATGACCAAGTGGGATTTATCCCTGGGCGGCAAGGTTGGTTCAACATCTGCAAATGAATCAACGTGATACAATACATTAATAAAAGAAAGAGCAAGAACCATATGATCCTTTCAATAGATGCAGAAAAAGCATTTGACAAAGTACAGCATCCTTTCTTGTTCAAAACTCTTCAGAGTATAGGGATAGAGGGTACATACCTCAATATCATAAAAGCCATGTATGAAAAACCCACAGCGAATATCATTCTCAATGGGGAAAAACTGAGAGCTTTCCCTCTAAGGTCAGGAACACGGTAGATATGTCCACTATCACCATTGCTATTCCACATAGTATCAGAAGTCCTAGCCACAGCAATCAGACAACAAAAAGAAATAAAAGGCATCCGAATCAGCAAAGAAGTCATCAAACTCTCACTCTTTGCAGATGATATGATACTCTATGTGGAAAACCCCAAAGACTCCACCCCAAAACTGCTAGAACTCATACAGGAATTCAGTAAAGTGGCAGGATATAAAATCAATGCATAGAAATCAGTGGCATTCCTATACACCAACAACAAGACAGAAGAAAGAGAAATCAAGGAGTCGATCCCATTTACAATCACAGCCAAAACCATAAGATACCTAGGAAAAAAATCTAACCAAAGAGGCAAAGAATCCATACTCAGAAAACTATAAAATACTCATGAAAGAAATTGAGGAAGACACAAAGAAATAGAAAAATGTTCCATGCTCATGGATTGGAAGAACAAATATTGTGAAGATGTCAATGCTACCCACAGCAATCTACACAATCAGTGCAGTCCCCATCAAAATACCATCCACTTTTTTCAAAGAAATGGAACAAATAATCCTAAAATTTGTATGGAACCAGAAAAGACCTCGAATAGCCAGAGGAATGTTGAAAAAGAAAAGCAAAGCTGGCAGCATCACAATTCCGGACTTCAAGCTCTATTACAAAGCTGTCATCATCGAGACAGTATGATACTGGCACAAAAACAGACACATAGATCAATGGAACAGAATAGAGAGCCCAGAAATGGACCCTCAACTCTATGGTCAACTGATCTTCGACAAAGCAGGAAAGAATGACCAGTGGAAAAAAGACAGTCTCTTCAACAAATGGTGTTGGGAAAATTGGACAGCCACATGCAGAAGAATGAAACTGGACCATTTCCTTACAGCACATACAAAAATAGACTCAAAATGGTTGAAAGACCTAAACGTGAGGCAGGAGTCCATCAAAATCCTAAAGGAGAACACAGGCAGCAACCTCTTCGACCTTAGCCGCAGGAACTTCTTCCTAGAAACATCACCAAAGGCAAGGGAAGCAAGGGCAAAAATGAACTATTGGGGCCTCATCAAGGTAAAAAGCTTTTGCACAGCAAAAGAAACAGTCAACAAAACCAAAAGAGAACCAACAGAATGGGAGAAGATATTTGCAAATGACATATCAGATAAAGGGCTAGTATCCAAAATCTATAAAGAACTTGTTAAACTCAACACCCAAAGAACAAATGATCCAATCAAGAAATGGGGAGAAGGCAGGAACAGACATTTTTCCAAAGAAGACATCCAAATGGCCAACAGTCACATGAAAAAGTGCTCAACATTGCTCGGCATCAGGGAAATCCAAATCAAAACCTCAATGAGATATCACCTCACACCAGTCAGAATGGCTAAAATTAACAAGTCAGGAAATGACAGATGTTGTGGGATGCGGAGAAAGGGGAACCCTCCTACACTGTTGGTGGAATGCAAGCTGGTGCAGCCACTCTGGAAAACAGTATGGAGATTCTTCAAAAGGTTGAAAATAGAGCTACCATATGATCCAGCAATTGCACTACTGTGTGTTTCCCCCAAAGATACAAATGTAGGGATCCAAAGGGGTACATGCACACTGATGTTTATGGCAGCAATGTCCACAATAGCCAAACTGTGGAGGGAGTGAAGATGTCCATCGACAGATGAATGGATAAAGATGAATGGATAAATGGATACAGACACACACACACAGGAATATTATGCAGCCATCAAAAAGAATGAATTCTTGCCATTTGCAATGACGTGGATGGAACTGGAGGGTATTATGCTGAGTGAAAGAAGTCAATCAGAGAAAGACATGTATCATATGACCTCACACTATGAGGAATTCTTAATCTCAAGAAACAAACTGAGGGTTGCTGGAGTGGCGGAGGGTGGGGGGAGGGGGTGGCTGGGTGATAGACATTGGGGAGGGTATGTGCTATGGTGAGTGCTGTGAATTGTGCAAGACTGTTGAATCACAGGGTGCCTGCGTGGCTCAGTTGGTTAAGCGACTGCCTTTGGCTCAGGTCATGATCCCGGAGTCCCGGGATCGAGTCCCGCATCAGGCTCCCTGCTCGGCGGGGAGTCTGCTTTGTCCTCTGACCCTATCCCCTCTCATGTGTTCTCTCTCTCTCAAATAAATAAATGAAATCTTAAAAAAAAAAAAGACTGTTGAATCACAGATCTGTACCTCTGAAACAAATAATACAGTATATGTTAAAAAAAAGAAGAAGAAGAAGAAGACGATGAAGGAGAAAAGAAGAGAAGAAGAGAAGAAGAAGAAGAAGAAGAAGAAGAAGAAGAAGAAGAAGAAGAAGAAGAAGAAGAAGAAGAAGAAGAAGAAGAAGGAGGAGAAGAAGAAGGAGAAGAAGATAACAGGAGGGGAAGAATGAAGGGGGGGAAATTGGACGGGGAGATGAACCATGAGAGACTATGGACTCTGAAAAACAAACTGAGGGTTCTAGAGGGGTATGGGGTGGGAGGATGGGTTAGCCTGGTGATGGGTATTAAAGAGGGCACGTTCTGCATGGAGCACTGGGTGTTATGAATCATGGAACACTACATCAAAAACTAACGATGTAATGTATGGTGATTAACATAATAAAAAAAATAAAGCTAAAGTGAATCTCTTATAGGCAGCATATTCTTAGATTTTTTTTTTTAAAGATTTTATTTATTTGAGAGAGAGAATGAGAGAGAGAGAGAGAGCATGAGAGGGGGAGGGTCAGAGGGAGAAGCAGACTCCCTGCTGAGCAGGGAGCCCGATGTGGGACTCGATCCCGGGACTCCAGGATCATGACCTGAGCCGAAGGCAGTCGCTTAACCAACTGAGCCACCCAGGTGCCCCAGATCTTATTTTTTTTTTACCCATTCAGCTATTCTGTGTCTTTTGATTAAAGAATTTAATTATTTTATGATTAAAGGAATTATTTATTACTATTGCCATTTAATTTTATTTATACGTTTCTTGTTTCTTATCTTGCTGTCTTTTGTTGTTTGACGACTTTTTGTAGGGATATGCTTTGATTCCTTTGATTCCTATTTCGTAACTTTTGTTTTTTAATTTTTATATATATTTTTAAAGACTTTATTTATTCATTTGTCAGAGAGAGAGACAGCACAAGCAGGGGAAGTGGGCTCAGGGAGAGGGAGAAGCAGGCTTGCAGGACCCTGGGATCATGACCTGAGCGAAGGCAGACACTTAACTGACTGAGTCACTCAGGCCCCCCTCATAACTTTTGCTTATCTCTTTTGGTTTTTCCTTTGTAATTGTGTGAAGGATTACATAAAATATCTTATTTTTATAACATCCTATTTTAAGCTGATAGCAACTTATTGATAGCATACATAAATTTATCCTTACATTTATCTGTCCTTCACATTTTAGGTAATTGATATTATAATTTACCTATTTTTAAATATTGTTTAACCAATAACAAGTTATGGTGGTTTTGTTTATTTTATACATTTTCTAGCCTTTTAACTAGAGTTCTAGGTAATTATGGACCACCATAACAATATTAGAGACTATCACCTTGACAATATGGTGGCCATTACCAATGAGTTTTGCAAACACTTTCTTTTGTTTTCACAATGTTAATTATGATCATTTACGTCTGCTTCATGGATATTCTTTAGCATATTGGGGGAGGCAGGTCTACTGGTTATGAACTCAACTATTGTTTGTTATGTTTTTCTCTCTCCATTTCAGAATAATAGGTTTGCTGGGTATCCTATTCTTGGTTGGCACTTTTTATCTTACACATTTGACTCTATCATCCTTCTTTCTTCTGCAAAGTTTCTGTTGAGAAATACACCTTAAGTCTTTTGGGAGGACTCCCCGTGTGTGATGACTCACATTTCTCTTGCTGCTTTCACAATTCCCTCTGCATTTCAGTTTTGGCAAGGTGTGTTGGTATAGCCCTATCTTGTTTAACCAGTTTGGGGGCCTTGGAGCCTCATGAATTTGGATTTCCATTTCTCTCTCCACATTTGATAAGTTTTCAGCCATTTAGCTTTAAATATCCTTTCTGTATCTTTCTCTTTCTCTTCTCACTCTGGGATTCTAAAACATTGTTTCTGTTGATGATGTCCCATTGTATTTCTTTGCTCCTTTTAAGTCCTTTTTTCTTTTTGTTTTTCCAATGGGATGATTTCAAATGACCTGTCCTTAAAGCACTGGGATATTAAGTAAACTTCCCAAGAGATTAAAACAGTCAGTGAGTGGGGAAACAGGTTGTATTCATATTTCAAAGACGCTTTGGGCTTTTTTCAAAGAGCAAAATTTGGACCAAATCCCATGCATCCAGGTCCTTCATGACAGATGAAGACCAACCTGCAGGGAGTGGGAGGCATCCATGTCTGCATCTGTAGACAGCAAGGTCCTTTATCCTGACAAGAACACTACAGATACATCTCATACAGTGGACTGATGCTGTAACAAACTCTCTTGTTGATCACCAACAATTCTAACTCCTTTGACCATATATCAAGACTCTATATATGTCCAATTCAGTACACAAAGGGCTCCTAACAGTCTTGGGTTTGGGGGGCTTTAGAGGCTGGACTATGGGGGTGGGAGTGACAAAGTAGGTCTGCAGAGTGCCTCGGCAGAGGGAGAGATCAATGGCAGCATCCTGGAGGGTGGGTGGGAGTATATGGTTGGGGGGTGTTGGCACTCTGAGCAGCAGCTGTTGAGGGGGAAGCATCCCTGGTTGGGTGGAAGGCAGGGCAACTGCCTGCAGAGGGGCTTCACTGGGGTGAAGTTGAAGCACCAACCCTGTAGGGAAGAGAATAGAGAGAAGGTCATCAAGAAGGCATTGGAGATGGAACCAGAATGCTTTGGTGTCCTTGGCTCAAGGGGGTTCCACCTCATGACCCATCAAGACCAACATGGTAGGACCTTGTTGATACCCTTCCTCTCCCTGGGTGCTGGCCTCCAGGCTGGGCTGCTATTTCAAGACTCATTTCAGGTGTTGGAAATCTTCCCTGCCTCCCCCAGGCAGCCCCAGTGTTCTGACTCTGGATTCCTTCTGTTCTGGTTTTGAACTTGTCTGCTTCCCCTTGGACTGGGAGCCTCAGGAATGAGAACAAAGCCTGACAGCTGAGGAGCACAAGCCTTGCCCAGGTTCTTTCAGCGATTGTGTGCTGAAGGGTTGAGTTCTCACCACAACCGTGAGGCCAGGTTCTGGGCCCCCAGGGCAAGGGAAGCTGGGGGCACCCTCGGGTGGGTGATGGGCTGTGGAGGCAGCAGTCAACCTGAACTCCTTGGCTTGGGATGAGAACAATACAGATGCTTCAGGACAGTAAAATCTGCCCCTAGTTTACTCTCATCCCCTCCTGCCCCTAGCCCTGAATCAGCTGAGAACTCCCAGCTGAAAGGCTCAGATAAGCCAGGGAGGGGGGCCTGGGCACGCTGGCTTCTGACAGCATCTCTGGCCCCTCTAGCTCCAGGAGATACAGACAGTGGATAAGAAAGGGCCTGTATTTTCCACAGGCAGCAAACCTGAGAGGAGGGAGACCATGTTGGCCTTTCCCAGACCCCCAGCTCCCTTCCAGGGAGCAGTTCTTCTAGGACCACAGGGTCTGGCTTTAATTCAAACAAACCTACTGGCACAAGGCAACCACAATTTTAGGAACACTGACTGGGTAAAGCCCCTGTGCATGGCCCTTCCTTAGTGTGGTCCTTGCACACCCCCACACACCATGCACACTTGCACCTCCAAGTCCCCATGACCTTCTGCTCATTATGTGCCACACGAAATGCAAAGTGCCAGATAGGACAGTCCCTGCTCTCAAAGGAGCTTCTAGGTCACTGGCTTGCTGTAGTCACTTGAATAACAGCCCTGACAGATATCCAGGTCCTGGTCTTTGGAACCTGTGGCTGTTTTGGGTTACACTGGAAAAGGACCTTTGAGATGTGATTAAGTTAAGGACCTTGAGATGAGATTATCCTGGGTTATGTGGATGGGCCCACAGGTGAGCACAGGTTCCTATGAGAGGGAGACCTACCCACAGAAGAGGAGAAGGTGATGGGAGGGGTGAAACAGGGAGATTCAAGGTGCTGCTCTGCTGGCATATGGATGGAAGAAGGGGCCAGGAGCCAGAGAACCCTAGGACTGCAGTTCCGGAAGTGGAAAAGGCAGGAAAGGGATTGTCTACAGTCAGACCCTCCAGAAGGAGCACGGTCCTGGTGAGAACTGGATTTCTGCTCAGGAAAACGGTTTCACACTTCCAGCCTCCAGAGCTGTGAGGACTCCAGGACTGAAAACTTGTGGTTTTCAGCTGCTAAGTTTGTGACACTTTGTTACAGCAGCCACAGGAAAGTAGCACCCTTGCCCACCAGAGGACCGACAGTAAAAACATAGCCATTCACAACACTGGAGGAAAGAACAGACTGAGCCCGCAGAGCACAGCCCCGTTCGGGGTTCAGGGTTCGTGCTGAGTGTTCAGATCCTGCACACCACTCCCTGCCAGCTCTCAGCAGTGCTGTGTGTGTTCTCCAAGGGGCTCAGGCCACAGTGAGGATCTCATCCACAGAGGTGTGCAGACTCAGGAGGCAGGAGAGGGAGTGGCTCTCCGAGCCCAGCTCTCTATTGACTAAGGGGCCCTGGACAGGCTTTGACCCTCAAAGTCAGATGGGAAGGGACAGAGGAGTGGGAAGGGAGCCCCCTCCTACAGGGCCTACTTATGAGCTCCCAGCTCTGCTCAGGATGAGCGGATTGACTTCAGACAGCCCTGGGTGCCGAACTTGCTCTCTGGGTGGCCTCCATTCCTTTCCTGACCTCTTGGACGGTTATTTGCCATTGGCACACAAACAGGGCCCCTCCTGGCTCCAGAGAGGACTGGGCCAACTCTAGAGCTGGCATGGCAGGAGCCTGGCAGAGCCGTGGGCAGCTGTAAGTGCCCCACAATGCATGAGTCCGCCCAGGAGAGTCTCAGTGGATGAGGGCAGCCAGCAGACCCCCCAGGGGGGTGGTGCTCAATAGGGAGGGATGATGGATAGGGGCCAGGAGAACTCTCTGGCTGGCCTCCCTCTACAGCTTCTTTGACTTAAGTTTGGAGGCCCTGGGTCATAAGAAAGTTTCCTGTTATTTGGAGAGGATATGCATGAAAATGCAGGCATCATGTCCAGAATCAGCCTGGGAGGCTCCTGAGCACCACCTCTCCATGTCTTGGCATCCTCCCTGGCAGATGCCTAGACACAATCCCTGACCCACAGTCCCTGAGTGCAACTGTCAAGGGCAAAGAGCAAAGTCCTCCTTCCCCATGGGGAGCATCCCTGTGCCCCTGCTTACCTGGTCCCTAGGCTGACACCACATCAACGGCAGCTGATTGCAGGTTTGAACAAAGTCACACAAGGTATCCAGTTTGTCCTGAAAAGCAGATGTGGCCATGAGGAGACTCTAGGCATGGTGGTCACCTCGAGAGGGGTAGAGTCCTCTCTGGCTTGAGATGGTCCCAGAGGGCTCTGTCCCCAGGAACACACTGAGACAGCACTGCAGCCTCTACCTGGGGCAGGGGCCTGGTGGCCTTGTGGTTTGAGGGCAGGAGTGTCACTGCAGATTGCTTTGGAATCTGGAACAGGTCTTCCTCTCGATGTACTGCCTGGGGCCTCCTCATCCCTGCCCTCACACCACCCTCTGCAGGGTTGGGAGCTCCCTCCCTGGGTGGGGCCCAGTGCATCCTGGGGTAAGGATATTTCCTTCAGGCCTCCTCCTCCATGAGGCCCTGGTCCCTCCATGTCACTGGGCCCCAAGGACAATGGAGTTAGCTCAGTCCCTCACTCTGCTGAGCGGACTCGTGCAAGGCTCGCAGGAGCCACGGGCGTTTCTGGATACTTTTAATAGTGAACAAACCTTGCTCAGAATTTTCCTGTAGAAGATGTTGTTTCTGACCCACAGGAGCCTGCTTATGATTGAGCCTGTGTTTGCTCATGCACCTGCTGGCGGGTGAGACTGAAGCCATTGCTGGAGCCGCTGACAAGCTCTGAGAGAGCCCGGGACCGGCAGGCTGTAGCCAGCCGCCAGCTTCTGCAAACCTGGGCCTTTGCCAAGGGGGAGACCCTAGTGCTGGGCCCCACATGGTGGCGGTGGCTGGAGCCCTCACTTTTTGTTCTCTCCTGGGCCCGGGGATCAGGATGCCCTGTGCTTTTTCTCTAGTGCCAAGGGATCAATGTCGCTTTCCATAAACGTCATCTCCCTGAATGCCACGGTTCATATGGTCCATGAACGGGCTGCTCCCTTTTCTTCCTCAGCCCAGCCTGGAGGTCACAGCACCCTCCCCAGTGCTCTTCTTTTTTTTTTTTTTTATTCTTATGTTAATCCCCATACATCATTAATTTTAGATAAAGTGTTCTATGATTCATTGTTTGTGCATAACACCCAGTGCTCCATGCAGAATGTGCCCTCCTCAATACCCACCACCAGGCTAACCCATCCTCCCACCCCCCTCCCCTCTAGAACCCTGTTTCTTTTTCAGAGTCCATCGTCTCTCATGGTTTGTCTACCCCTCCAATTTCCCCCGCTTCATTCTTCCCCTCCTGCTACCTTCTTCTTCTTCTTCTTTTTTTTTTCTTAACATATATTGCATTATTTGTTTCAGAGGTACAGATCTGAGATTCAACAGTCTTGCACAATTCACAGCGCTTACCAGAGCACATACCCTCCCCAGTGTCTATCACCCAGTCACCCCATCCCTCCCACCACACCCCACTCCAGCAACCCTCAGTTTGTTTCCTGCAATTAAGAATTCCTCATATCAGTGATATCATATGATACATGTCTTTCTCTGTTTGACTTATTTTCCCCAGTGCTCTTCTTACCTCGATATGTCTCACGTTGTCTTGCTGGTACCTACAACAAGGGACAATCACCATGTTGCATGTCTGTATACACGTCTCTGACTCCTAGGAAGAGAAAGCACAGCTTGCTTTTTTGTCTGGCAGCTCCTGGGCACAGACACATGACCTGTGCTGCTCCAGCTCCTGGTAGCGGCCACTCAGGACAAGTGCACTGCTGCGAGATTTCGAGGACAAATGAGGAGCACCCTGCTCTGTGACAGTTTCTCCATGGGAAAAACAAGGAAACTCAATGTATTTGCAAATATGGCCTTCCCCCAAAAGGCTGACTAACTCTATCCTGTCCCTTTGGTCTCCTGGGGCTGCCTGTGGTAGAAAAGCCCGGTCTTAGGGCTGCACAGTGTACAGGAGGGCTGTCCACGTGGGAGCATTTGCAAGGGACAGGGCTGCACTCACCTGACCCTGGCAGATCCATTCTCAGCAGGTAGCACTGCACCTAGTCCCTGCACAGCCCCGGGCAGTGAGGCCTGCTTCCCACCAGCCCTCAGGCTCAGGTGCCCCTGTTCAGAACACTTTGTCCCCACTATAACTCCTTCTTCTGGGACCTGGCTTGGGCCCCCACCCTGGGGGATCCACAGCCTGCTCCCCTGACCCTGGCTTTCTGTGCTCACCTGGGCTGGGCCTGCCTCACAGCTCAATGCCAGGCAAGACACCCTCCAATATCCCCAACTCCAGCCAAGCCCCTGGCCCTGCCAGGGGACCGGGATGGAGATCAATGATATGCAGCCCAATATACATCAGAGCCTGGGCAGAGGACCAAATTTTGAAATCTAAGGCTCCTTTTCTAAAAGTTCACCTGAGTCTCTCAAACAGTCCTGTGGAAATTGACCCAAAGTCCCTATATTTTAATAAAGATCAGAGCACTTGCTGAAACAGGCTACCTCAAGTTGCTAATTCGGTGACAAAGCCCTGGATCAGCAGAGCTGCATACTTGGGAAGGGTGTTTTGAGTCCCAAGTCCTCCTGAGGCCCCTCTGTATTCCTCGGTACCCTCTTCTTTCTGCCTGCTCTCTCAGCCCAGCTAGTTGGGAGGTGTGGGGGAAAGGGGAACAAATATCCCATAGGCAGCAGGAGTCCTTTTGTGTGAAGTTCAATGTGGGCATCGGGCATACTGACCACATCAGGACCAAAATCATGACTTACCCTTTCTATTTTCTCCACTGGTGGTGGCTCCTTGTCAGTCTAGAATGTTAAAGAGACATAAACGCGGGCTAGAGTGGCATGGAGGTTGCAGGCTCCACCATGCAGACAGGAGGGGACCCTACTCAGCAGCAGCTGGACAGAACGTGGGCTTTGGGTGTCAGTCTACCAGCCCACTGCCCATGGGTCTCTGCCCAACCAGCTGCACCACCCTGAGCCCCAGGCTCCTGGGTTATCAAAGGGGATCAGACCTCCCTGGAGGGTGCACTGGGAGACAGCCAGACTAGGCTGCCTGGTCCCCGGCAGAGGCACCCCAGCTGGTAGTGTTCATCAGCAGCCCTTCCATCACACGAAGACAGGAGAACTCGCCCCACTTCGCCTCCTACCCCTTACCTCCCAAGTCCCCGTAGCCCTCTCTGGCCCCTCCTGTGCGATGGCAGCGCCCAACCCCACCTTCTGTCCTCATAGCTCCCCCTCCGCAGCAATGGGACCTGCTTGTGTCCTGCAGCTTTGCTCTGTCCTTTCCTACCTCTGCCATCTCCTCTTCCTTCACCAGCTCTGGCCCGGGCCCTTGCAAACCCAGCAGCCAGTGCATCTGCCCTCCTGCCTCCCCCAAGGCCAGTGTCTGTCCTTTGCTAGGGCTCTCCTTGCCACACCCTATGAAGGTGACATTTACCCTCCACCCCCAGGTACCAATCCAGACCAGACACCAGACTGTGAACTCCTGAGGGCAAGGCTGGTGGCAGCTCCATTCCTGTCCTTCTGTGGCCCAGCGTGCCCTGGCCCTGAGTAATGGCTGAGGAAGGAAGGCCAGACCCACTGGACGAGGGCAGAGATCCTTGTTGGGGTCCAAGGCTCAGCTGCCCCAGAGGTCAGGGATCCTCCCAGCTGGCAGGATTCTCCCTTGGAGCCCTCAGTGCCTCCCGCAGGGCCCTCCTTCTTCCCTCAGCACCAGAGGCCTCTTCTGGTGTTGGCCTCCCTGAGTCTTCCAGAAGCCTGGCAGCTGTGTGGCCTCCCTGGTGGCTTCTCCCCAGAGGCCAGGGCAGCTCTTAGGTCCCCTCTAGAGACATGTGTGAGGCAGGTGGTCCCTCAGACACAGGCTGAATCTCTGCCTGGGAATACAAGGCAAGCTGTGCTTCTATTTGCTCATGCAAAGACCTGGTTGCTGATGGGAACCTGCCCACAGGCAGAATATGGGGGTGGAATGGCTCGGGTCCCTTGTAGTTTGGGGAGGGCCCGTGTCACAGGCTGTGCGGGCAGGGCTCACTCACGTTCATGCAACAGCAGATGCAGCAGATCAGCACCGGGATAATGAGCAGGGTTGGGACGAGCACTGGGTATAGGAGAGATGTGTCAAGGATAGGCTTTTCTGTGACAAACATGTGCACTGTGGTCTTTGGTATGACAACTGAGGTCTCAGTCATTTCCTGTGTGACAACTGTGGACAGTGTGGTTGTCCACGTGGTCGTCGTGGGCATTGTGGTCATCCGTGTCGTCGTCATGAGCGTTGTGGTCATCCGTGTGGTCGTTGTGGGCGTTGTGGTCGTCCGTGTGGTCGTTGTGGGCGTTGTGGTCGTCCGTGTGGTTGTCGTGGGCGTTGTGGTCCTCCGTGTGGTCGTGGTGGTGGTTGTGGTCCTCCGTGTGGTCGTGGTGGTGGTTGTGGTCCTCCGTGTGGTTGTCGTGGGCGTTGTGGTTCTCCGTGTGGTGGTGGTGGTGGTTGTGGTCCTCCGTGTGGTTGTCGTGGGTGTGGTGGTCCTCCGTGTAGTTGTGGTGGTGGTTGTGGTTGTCGTGGTGGTTGTGGTCCTCCTTGTGGTCGTTGTGGTCCTCCGTGTGGTCGTTGTGGTCCTCCGTGTGGTCGTCGTGGGCGTCGTGGTCCTCCGTGTGGTCGTCGTGGGCGTCGTGGTCCTCCGTGTGGTCGTCGTGGTCCTCCGTGTGGTTGTCGTGGGCGTTGTGGTCTTCCGTGTGGTTGTCGTGGTCCTTCGTGTGGTTGTCGTGGGCGTTGTGGTCCTCCGTGTTGTTGTGGTCGTTGTGGTTGTTGTGGTTGTCCGTGTGGTTGTTGTGGTCCTCCTTGTGGTCGTCGTGGTCCTCCGTGTGGTCGTCGTCGGCGTTGTGGTCCTTCGTGTGGTCGTCGTGGTCCTCCGTGTGGTCGTTGTGGGCGTTGTGGTCCTCCGTGTGGTCGTTGTGGTCCTCCGTGTGGTCGTGGGAGTTGTGGTCCTCCGTGTGGTCGTCGTGGTCCTCCGTGTGGTCGTGGGAGTTGTGGTCCTCCGTGTGGTCGTCGTGGTCCTCCGTGTGGTCGTCGTGGGCCTCCGTGTGGTCGTTGTGGTCCTCCGTGTGGTCGTCGTGGTCCTCCGTGTGGTTGTCGTGGTCCTCCGTGTGGTCGTCGTGGTCCTCCATGTGGTCGTCGTGGTCCTCCATGTGGTCGTTGTGGTCCTCCGTGTGGTTGCCCTGGTCCTCCGTGTGGTCGTCGTGGTCCTCCATGTGGTCGTCGTGGTCCTCCGTGTGGTCGTCCTGGTCCTCCGTGTGGTCGTCGTGGTCCTCCGTGTGGTCGTTGTGGTCCTCCGTGTGGTCGTCGTGGTCCTCCGTGTGGTCGTTGTGGTCCTCCGTGTGGTCGTTGTGGTGGTCGTGGTCCTCCGTGTGGTCGTCGTGGGCGTTGTGGTCCGCCGTGTGGTCGTCGTTGTGGTTGTGGTCCTCCGTGTGGTCGTCGTGGGCGTTGTGGTCCACCGTGTGGTCGTCGTTGTGGTTGTGGTCCTCCGTGTGGTCGTCGTTGGCGTTGTGGTCCGCCGTGTGGTCGTTGTGGTGGTTGTGGTCCTCCGTGTGGTCGTCGTGGGCGTTGTGGTCCTCCGTGTGGTCGTCGTTGTGGTTGTGGTCGTCCGTGTGGTCGTCGTTGGCGTTGTGGTCCGCCGTGTGGTCGTCGTGGTGGTTGTGGTCCTCCGTGTGGTCGTCGTTGGCGTTGTGGTCCGCCGTGTGGTCGTCGTTGTGGTTGTGGTCCTCCGTGTGGTCGTCGTGGGTGTTGTGGTCCTGCGTGTGGTCGTCGTTGTGGTTGTGGTCCTCCGTGTGGTCGTCGTTGGCGTTGTGGTCCGCCGTGTGGTCGTCGTGGTGGTTGTGGTCCTCCGTGTGGTCGTCGTGGGCGTCGTGGTCCTCCGTGTGGTCGTTGTGGGTGTCGTGGTCCTCCGTGTTGTCGTCGTGGGTGTTGTGGTTGTCCGTGTGGTCGTCGTTGGCGTTGTGGTCCTGCGTGTGGTCGTCGTGGTTGTTGTGGTCCTCCGTGTGGTCGTCGTGGGTGTTGTGGTCGTCTGCGTGGTCGTCGTGGGTGTTGTGGTTGTTCGTGTGGTTGTCGTGGGCATTGTGGTCTTCTCTAGTGGTTCCTTGGGCCTTAATGGGTCTTCCTGCAAAATCCAGACATGTCAGTGACTGGGGTGGGCATGAGTGACCTCTTACTGGGGGTACACCCTCGTACCCACACCAGACCTTCCCATACTCCTGGTCCTATAGGCCTTAATATTCCCACCTCCAGGGAGCACTGAGGGGCTGGAGGACAGGGACAGTAACCAGAGAGCCACTGTGGAACCCCGGGCCACAGAGCACACACTAGCCCTGCTCACAGGCTCTGTCCTAGAGCCCTGACAAGGGAGTGGAATCCCCGTGGTGGCACAAAGCCAGTCCTCACTGCATGCCTCGGCTGACATGCTGCACAGCCCTGCCCTAAGCCAAGTGGTCTGCTTTCCCAGAGGCAGGAGAAGGAGAGGGGTGAGGGTCTGTGTCCAGGAAACAAAGCAGCTGAAGGGGGAGGCAGGGTAGGGCCCATGGTGGTGTGGCTCCTCCTGAGGTCTTTCTGACATGTGTCTGCTGAGGCCGGGCTGTCAGTTGGTGGGACTCCTGGTGGGCAAATGGGTGAGTTCAGTCTGCTGATCCAGGAGTGTATGTCCGGGCACAAGCAAAGACACAGTCGGAGGACTGTCAGCACTGTTGGAACCCTCCCAGGCTGGGACTGGACAATAGGGTGGTGGCAATTAGGCACAGTTGGCCCTCCTCCCAGGCAGCTGTCTTCCACATCCTGACGCTGTCGCCCATGTCATGCTGCCCTGTGCCAGGTGTCCAGGTGACACAGAGCTCTGAGGAAGGGGCACCTGGGAGCAGAACCTTCTTTCCCACCTGTCATTGAGTTGCCTGTCCCTGAGTTGAGCCCCAGGTTCTCCCCACAGCCCTGCCCGCTTCCCCACCCACTGCAGGAGAGCACCGTCCTTCAGAGGTCAGAAAAAGTTAGCAGAGAGGGCAGCTGAGGAGCGTGAGAAAGCAGCAGAGGCAGAGGGGAGGCTGATGTTCTCTGCAAAATGACAGCGGGTGTTCTTCATGTGGGCTGGGTCTCAGGGCCAGTGATGGGCGTGTGTGGGTTCAGCCATACCAGCAACTGCATCCATACAGTGGAAACACACCTGGTCCCACCCTCCAGATGCCCTGTGTCTGGGACCTGGATTTGCAGTGTTCCAGTGTCCCAGAGGTCCTGGATTCTGTCTCCTAGCACACAGCCCCCCAGCTTCTCCCAGTTGCCTAGCTGGAATGCAGGGTGGAGCCCTGAGTTCCCCACCACTAGACCTGGGCCAGGAGAGGTGGCAAGGGGAGAGGCAGGTGTCAGAGGCTCAGCACTATTTCTGGAGTCTCCTCAGAGCTTAACTGTCCCCTTTCATGTGCTTCCAATGACACTTGGTTCACACAGAGAGCAGAGCTTCTGCAGGGCCTGGACAGGTGGCTGCACCATAGGGGATCTTCTGGAAGCACTCCCAGGGCACCTCAGAAGCCTGAGTGTGGGGACAGCTTGCTGATGAAGGGCTGAGGGCCCCAAGCTGGCTATGAGAAGCTGCCCAGCTGCTTGTCTGCATGAGCCACTTGCTTGGACTGCTTGGGACATTCTTCCCCTCTTCTGCCTCCCCTGGTGTCTGCTCCTTCCATGAAGTGGTTCTGGTCAGCCCAGGAGGGAGGCTGCAGCCCTACTTTGGCACTCACACAGTCGTTGCCTTGGAAAACCATTTTGCCGAGGAAGCTGTTGCCACCGTCCATGCTATATCTCACGATGACCTTCCTAAAGCATAGAAAAGGCAGATGGTGATCACCAGTATGGATAGGTATACTTCTTGCATTTGAGTCAGCTATAGTCAATAGTTTTGTTTATTGCAATGGCTTTGGCCATCAGGCATTGGGTCCACCAGTGAGCATACAGTATGGGTAAGGGGGGCTCACCCCAAGCACTACAAGGTCAACTTCTGCAGTGAAGACTGACCAGGCATGAGGAGACTTACATCGGGTCAGATGCCCTCTTGGCCGTGGGCTAAGTTTCCAGGGAGCGCAGCTTGGTGTCACCATCCTGACTCTTTATTTATAGAGTATGTTGACTTAGCTCTGAACAGCTGTCTGGAACAAAGTTACCATCACAGGGTACATCATCTCCTGAATCCTACATTCCTCAGCAGAGCCAGGGATGAGGGAATCCTTGAGTGCTTCTGGGGACCACCACCAAGGGCATGTGCTGAGGATGCCTGGAGCCCTCCCTGAATTAGACACGTACTACCCGTAGCTTGGCATCCCGTGTTCTGTATACCTCATGGTGGCAAAAATGCCCATCTGGCCCCTGTCCTGGGGCACTTACTGTTTGTCGGTCTCAATTATATGTCCAGGGCACATTATACTTCTTTCCGTTACTTCAAGCGCTTTTCTATCTGAGAGACAATCACAATAGAATAATGTCAGTGTCATGTCCATTCATCCATCTCTTCTTTTCTGCCAGCCTCTGGCAAGCAGAGTTAACACTTTGAAAGATATCAGCTTCTCCTCTCTGCATTCCTCTGAGCCCCTACTGTGCACCAGGTCCTCTAGAATGCTCTGGTTGGAATGGAAGAGACAGGCTGAGTCCCAGTTCCCAACGGCCTTACATTTGAGGGACTGGAGGGAAGACAAACATTGAAATAACTAACAAAGAACAAAATAGGGGTGCCTGGGTGGCTCAGTTGGTTAAGCGTCTGCCTTCGGCTCAGGTCATGATCCCAGGGTCCTGGGATCGAGCCCCGCATTGGGCTCCCTGCTCAGTGGGAAGCCTGCTTCTCCCTTTCCCACTCCCCGTGCTTGTGTTCCCTCTCTCGCTGTGTCTCTCTCTATCAAATAAATAAAATCTTTAAAAAAAAAATTTAAAAAAAAGGAACAAAATAAATGCAGACAGTGAGAAGTGCTGAGACAATAAGAAGCAAGGGGAGGACAGAGAGTGGAAGGGAAAAGACACAGCTTAGGAATGGGGGACCTGTCCTGTCCTTAAGAGATACCATTTCCTTTCACAGAAACAAAAATCTGTATACTTCAGTGACTTCACTGATGTGATGGCTGGGATTTGCTTCAAAGTAATCCACGGTGAAGGCATCAATAAAACCAGATTGTCCAGAGTTGATAATTATTGAAAGTAGGTGAAGCTGTGTCAAGTTCATTATACAATTTTTGCTACTTGTCTCTATTGTTGAAAATTTCCATTACAAATAAAGTCTCTTTGAGGAGAGGATCCTAGAGCTGAAACCAGGTGGGGGGAAAGCCAAGGAAAGATCCAAGGAAAGAGTGTCTGGCTTCTGCGAGCAAGTGCCAAGGGCCTGGGGCATAACTAGCTGAGCTTGTTGAGGAGAGACGTGAGTGAGGAGAGGTGGGCAGGGCATTGTGGGCCCTGGGAAGGGGTTTGGGTTTTATTCTAAGATGATGAATCTGACAGGGGGCTGGCCAGATCTGGGCAGGTTTTGGACATTGAAGCAACAGTGAACTGGATGTGGAGCAAAAGCAAAGGGGAAGCACAGTTGATAGGCAGGGTTTGGTGACAATGACTGGGTGGATGGTGGTGCCATTTAGTGAGGTAGCAAAGCCTGAGGGAGGAAGAGGGGCTCTCTTTGTCTTTGTGTTTTTGTGTGTGTGTGGGGGATCCTGGGAGTTGGCACTCAAGAGGCTCAGAACAGTTTTGTCTCTTGCAGCTGGGGGACCAAACTCTTTCATACCCCTAACTTTGGTCACAAGCCAGGACTATTCCCTACAGAATGGCTCATTTCCATGTGGACCAACCCTGGCCCTAACTCAATGGTCACATTAACTATGAGCTCCTGAACTGTCTGACCCCTCCACTGGGCTGATAATGAAAGCTAGCCACCACATATGGTTTCGGGAAAGCCAGCTGTGTCTGAGAGGTAGGATGGTTGGGGTTAGTGCGGAAAAAAATCCCTAAGAAATGCAATTTACTTTCCCGTAGGGTGTTCACAGTCCAGAGCAGAAAGAAGCTAATGACAGGTAGCTGCACACTGAGGGCCCAGAAGTTTGCTGAAGTGGAAAGGAGTTTTCAAACCACTATTAACTGATTAAACTGAATACTTAATTTATTTATTTAAACTAGTATAAAATTTCTTAAAACATAGAAACATTACACACTAAAGACAGAATACATACATAGCAACACCGATTTTAAAATTTTCTATATGCTTCTCTGTATTTTCTAAAATGTTTTCCCAGACATTTAAATCTAAGGAAAATGTAATTAGAAAAAAATTGAATCACTCCCCATCAGTGCATCAGAGGTCTTGGCAATAAAAAAAAAAAATCCTGCTAGGCCACTTGCGACCAGCCACTGAATGCATGCAGAGTGGCCATCAGCTGAAATGCACAGGAGTATGTGTTGGATTCTGCCATGTGAGGCCCTGGCACCAGTCCACACTGAAGAGGAACACTGGTGATCTCCAGGGTGCTAACCGATAGAGTCACAGGGCACAGAGGAAGTATCTGAGCACATTTCCTAGGAGATAGGTTGTGTCCAGCACTCCTTAAGAATGTCATCTCAGCAAGGCAAGGCCCAGACTAGGCAATTGGATCACATCTGTCTGTTTCCAGCTCTTCCTACAGCAGCTTCTGGCCTTGGGCAAACTCATTATTACCCCTCTGCCTCATTCCAGAGCTATACTGAGAAATAACAGTTTTGAGAATTTGGGGACATGACATATGCAAGGCCCTTAACACATTACCTGATATAGTAAGTGCTCCATGAACATTGTTCTCCATACAAAGGCTTCCTCAGTCCCTAAACCACTCCTGAGGAAGTACTGAGCAAGGAAAATCTAATCCCCCGAGGCCATCTATACACTGCAGCTGTGGGAATGTGGCCACAACAGTGCCCTGTCCTGTTCTGTGTGCCCACGGGAAAGAAGGAGACTAGAGATGCCCTGGGGGAGAGGATTTGCTATGGATTGACCAGATGGCCCTGGAAGATGTCACTGAACATACTATAATCAGGTGAAAGGATGGCATCAGCGGGCTAACTGGGAGAGCCGAGGAGGACACAGAAAGTCCTCCTGTCCCCCAGAGCTCTGGGGAGGATCACACCCACCTCAGCACCGAGGGCACATCTGCCTGCCCACCCGTGCGCTTCCTCAGGCCACTCGGCCATATGGAGGTACACCTGAGCCCGAGTGTTTCCCCAAATATTGGCTTATATAGGCAATATGGCTTAGTTAGCTCAACTATCATATTAGCCCCATTTTACAGTAGAGAAAAGAGAGGCCGAGAACAGAATCCTCATTTGGTGAAGGTCACACATGTGACATGTGCCTGTGCCAAGATCCCAGGGCCTGGGTCTGGCAGGTGGCACCCTCTCTCCATCCCAGGTGCACATACCCTTCCAGGAAGCTACCAGCGCACCTGGCCCAGACTCAGAGCCCCAGGGCTGCCTCGTTTCTACCAGCAGTCTCCAGGGATTCGGGTCCTTGTGGCTCAAGGCAAGTGAGTGCTGAGCCAAGGGAGGGGGAATGCAGCTCTGGGGCAGACCCAGCACCCAGAGCCATTAGGGGTAAAGCCCTGCTCCAACAGGCTCTGGTGCTTTGGGGGTTGATGACTTCCCAACTTCCCAGCCAGGTCCCTCCTTCCCCTTGTCCACACAGATCTATCCTCACAGTGTTCACAGTGCATGGTCAGCAAGGACTTTGAAGGCCTAGCTGGCTGAGGGGAAGGCAGCCTGAGATGGGGAATTTGTCACTTGGAGGCACCGAGGGGACTACTTACTGGGGAACCTCTTGCCGCCCACAAAATATTGGCAGACAAATTTCTCCTTGTTACTTGGATCTGGGACAGGTCTCAAAAATTCCACATCATAGTATTCTGCAAAGGCAATATTCGAAGGTCTGTGTGAGGCAGAGCTGAGAGCTACTTTCCCTCCTATCTGCTAGTTATAACAGTTCACACCAAAACCCCATTCTCAGGAACTCCTTCTGAGGAAAGCAACTTTGCTGCTCTCTCTGCTCCAACACCCCTCACCCAATTCCTCCAATAGTAACAAGCACACGAAGAAAATGAAGCCAAGGACAGACTAACGTCAGCTTGTGGGAGCTGCATTTCCTACAGAGGGGGGCACTGCATTGCAGCGGTCAGTGGCATGAGGACCCGTAGCCCCCAGCAGAGAGACCGGTCCTTCTGGATGGAGAACTTTCCTTCTGGAGAAGTTGTACAGCAGGCCTCCCGGAGCTCCAGAGAGAGGAGCTAGAAAGGCAGGCAGCTCCCTGACCAACGTTTCACCTGTGTCCTCTTCATGCTGCAATTCTACTTCTGGGATTGACCCAGGGAATCCTGACCCATGCCCACAGAGAGTGAGCCTCATGGTGCTCACAGCCTGCTGTAGCCACATGTTAGGAACAACCAGAATATTGACCAGAGAGACGAGTGAAAGAAATTTCCTCCATCTGTAGAATGGAATATGTGCTCATGGTTGGAAAATGTTATGTACTGCATGATCCCATTAATGCAAAACATCCTTGAAAAGCATATTTAGATAGCTGTGTACAGATACATGATCAGCCATCTATGGGAGTTATCTGTGGGAGAGAGATGGATGGGACAAATAGTAACTTTATCATAGTGGAGTGGAGGGACAGTAGCTAACAGACTGGCTGCAGGCATGTCTCTGCACTCACAGCGTTCCTTCTGCAGGCTCCTCCTGCCCAGCACAGCCTGCAGGCACTCCACTCAGAGGGTCTACCTGCCACCCTGCCCACTGGATCTTAGAGGAAAGCCCTCCTCTGCCCTGGGTCCTACTATGTGCCACCATGGATGTGCCCTGTCTGTTCTTTGCAGACATTCACTCTGGGTCCATCACATACAGGAACAAGAATGACAAGGTGCCAGCAACATCCTGCCTCAGTGGGCGAGAAAGCCCCAAGCATACCCAGCAAACACACAGGAGGGATGAATCTGCGAACCACTCAGCCTAGTACATCAACCAAACAGCGTTCATACCACATGAGTCCGTTAAGGGGATGTTTTTACACAGCAAACTAGCCTATGGAAGGAAAAATCAGAACATTAACTGCCTTCAGGTGGCAGGAGAAAGATTTTCTGAACAAGGGCCTAGCATGGATTTTCTGGAAACCAGTGTAGTGGTCTGTGTTTTCATGGGGGTTGGAGTCACACATGTGTTGTGTACTTTTGTCAGAACTCATGAAATGATACACTTTTGTCATATTTCAGAAAAATAACTTAATAAATATTGGTCCCTAGTTTAAGATACGCAGATGAGGGGTTTTAGTGAAATAGACTAATACCTATAATTTGCTTTACAATGCAACAAAAATTAAGGATGGATTCATGGACAGAGAGGGAGAGAGAGAATAGAGCAAGTGCACTAGATAGATCAATGATAAAAACCATGGTCAGATACTAAATATTAACTGCAAAATCCAGGCAGTGGAGGCAGGGCTGTTCATTGTACAGTTGTTTCCACTTTGCTGTAGGTTGGGAAATTTCCTTCACAAAAGGCTGGGAAAATATCAAAGAACAGAATGATAAAAATAAACCGTGACAGAGCCAAGCCGAAGTCATGGCACATACAAAGTGCCAAGGGCTGTGGGAATCCAGAGGGGCCAGTGAACCAGGGAAGGGGCAAGGGGGAGACTCCTGGGAGTGAGGCCTCAAAGGAGGGGTGGGCTGGACCCTGGAAAGCGGAGGGAGGGGCTTGCAGGAAGCCCATGCCTTCTCCCCCTCCCCCAGCCTAGCCCTGTTGGGGGCTAGGGGCCTCACACTCCCAGGCCAGGCTGGGGTTCGGGAAGGGGCCTGCTCCGTGCCCTCGGGCCCTGTGCAGAAGATGCCAGCCTGAGCCACAGAGGTGAAGAGGCTGCGAGTCTCATGCTCACCCCTGTCTGCTTTTCTAGGTGCTCTGGCCCTGGGATTTATTCACCATGCAAGGACCAGACACTCACACAAGTCACACTACCACCAAACACACAGTCACACTAACACTCACACAAACACAGACTCCACACATTTGGAGCCCACGGACACAGACATACATGTGTGCATACGTGCACACACTCCCCACACGCTTCTGTCTAGAACAGTGAGCTCATCTCTTACCATATAAACACATAAAGTAAATGCCCCTTGCCATAGCTTTCTCACAGGAATTTGCCACGAGCTAGAAAAGAGAGAGGGGTAGCAGATCAGGGACAGTGGATGGTGGTGAAATGGTGAGAAGCCTCCTTATCCCCTTCTCATTTAGTGCACACTCACCGATTTATAAAGGACTTCCATTTCCTTGACCTTCTCTGTTCCATACACATGGGACTGTTTTCCTGTAATGTCAGCCAGCTACAACGAAGAGGAAGTGTCTTGGCTCACAGGCAGTTGTAACTATGAGGTGTTCACAGGTAGTTGAAGACACAGAAGTCCCCATCCCAGGAGACAGTCTTTTGCCTCATGCTTGTTAGATTCCGAGGGCCAGACCCTGGTGTTGGCCAGCAGCCCACCCTTAGGGAAGGGAAAGCCCTTACATGTGTACCTGGGGTATATAGGTTTAACACAACAATTGTTATTTGTTTCTGGAGTGGCTATCTGCTGTCTAGACACTAGGTGTGGGTTAGAGGTCCATCCTCATGCAACCTTGGGAATGGTGCCTCTGAAAGTTTTCCCATCTAGGTTCATAGGTGGCACATGGTTACCTGCTCAGAATTACCTTATCTCTGTCATATTTGTTGAAACCCACGAAGTAAACTATGCCCCTCATTTTCTGAGCCTTCTGAACCTAAGACAAAGAAGATCTTGAGTAAAAATACCAAAATACATTCAGTGAAATGCTAGTAACGATGGGTTGGACTCACTTGGGACTTAATCATTGGTATTGATGATGATTTTGGTGGTGCAGTGTTCACAGCAATAATCAGGCTGTTAGTACGTGGGTCTGCAGAAGAAATACACAGTGGCCTGATCGGTAAAGGCACCCAGAGTGACTCTCTGCAGGCTGCTGGAACCACAGCACTGCTCCCCACACCTCCTCCCCAGAGGGGAGGCACCCCAACCCGAGCACCCACCATCACGGGTGCCTGCAGGGCTAGCAGCCCAGCCCTGGAGGGAGAAGGGATCTTAGCCAGGACCCACATTACAGACGACAGCACTGCGCCCTGCTCCGGCCCTTCCCACCAAACCGTCACTATGACCAGGTGTATAACCTTTGCCCTGAAAGGTAACTCCAGCTCCCTCATTGGACAAGCGTCAGTCTTTCAGATGAGCAAAGGATTGGACTGCCAGACTCGACTGTACCAGATGTCTCACAGCGCAGTGGAAAGCCTGGCTCTGGCTCAGGGCAGAGCCCACAGAAAGTCCTGCTCTATCTGCGGGCCCAGGGGTCCAGAAGGCGAGGTAGAGACTCTCGGGCTGCGGATCCCATGCCCAGCTCAGTGCCTTTCCCCACCAGGCCCATGCTTCCTTCCTGGCGAGTGCTGCAGCCCTACACTCTAGAAGAACATGGTTGTGGGCAGAGCACAGCTTTTTCCAGTGTTGGAGACACAGGCACAGGATGACATGAGCCAAAGGGAAGGAAGAGAAGGGAAAGGAGCCAGGGCCAGAAATGTGATGGAGACAAAGTGTGGGCAGCAGGGGGGGAATCCAGTGCTTTTTTCTGAAAACAGAATCTTATCTGCTCTAGGTCCCTTGGCTTTTCTGTTTTCTTGTTCAGGCAGCCCAAGTGTAGGTCAAGCACCTCTCAGTTACCAAGAACCTAGAAGGTCCATGCATGGCCCCATGTTGTTCTGAGACATATCACTGGGGGTGGTTTCATCCTCACTGCACAGAGGAGGGACCTATAGCCCAGAGAGGACAGCACCTTGCTCCAAGAGTCCGTGCTAGGAAGGGGCCGACGAGGGTCTGCACCAGACCTCCCTGAGGCTCAGGCCTGGCTCTGTTCCCACACCTGCCCACAGTGAAGTCACCAGGCAGCTTACTTAATTTGTGTGCTTCTTGAAGCTCCTCATTTACCTGCAAGGGAATGAAGGAGTGTTGGGGAAAGGCACTGAGAGGTCCCAGGATTACTCTAAGAACCCCATAAAGCAGAAGTCCTACAGTCAGTACCTCTTCAAATCCTTTCTCCATTAAACTTTCTCCTGCAGTTTCTATTGTCTTAAGTCCATTAAGAGTATTTTGTATTTTCTTTCTGAAAAAATCAGAAAAGGGGTTGAGGTGTAATTTGGGGTTGATATTAAAGGCAGCCCCAAGCCATCCTGGAGCCACTGTGCAGTGTGAAGACCTGTCTGGCTGGGACAGGACACAAGTCAAGTAGTCTGGTCATGACCTTCTGCCCTCTGTCCTTGATACTGACAGACCTCGCTCAGGCCTCCTCTGTCCCCATTGTGAGCATAGGGTGGGAGATGCTGCTTTGATGGTCCCATGGGTATGGCTTGGCTTTCTCTGCACTCGTCACTGTCTCAGGGCCCCAAGGCCCTGCCTTGACCATCCACGGTGAACATGGGGCACACCCATGGATGTGCCACTGTGAATCCCCACTCGCGATGTGACTGGCAGGGCTGCTAGAAGCTAACGCATCCCCTGGGAAGGCACACTATCCTCCAACAGGTAAGGCTGAGTTTGGAAAAGGTCATCCTGTGGATTGATACTCCTGCCCTGTCCCATCCTCCCCTGCCACAGGCCCCCAAGGTTGACTCGGTCCCCCCAAACTTCTTCCCCTTCTGGACTGGTGCTAAAGGAAGTAGCAAGCTGCTTCATGAGAGTGCTAGGGCTCCTGAGTTCATGTGCTCCTGAACAAAAAGGCCAAAGGCTGGGAAGTGGCCCTGAGGGCTGTTCATGCAGGTGGACGAGGAGTGATCCCCTGGCTGCCACGGGTATGTGGCCAGACAGCTGCTGTGAAGGCAGATTTCAGGGGTGGGACTGGGACAAAAGAGGGGCTGGGGGCTTAGGTTCAGGCCAATCCCATATGACGAGCTGAGCTGGCACAGTCAAGCTAGGAAAGTGTGGACTCTGAGAAGGCTTTTCACTGTGGGTAGTGGAGATGTTGCTGTTGGGGGAGACCTGAGAGCCCCGGGTCAAGTCCAGCCCAGCCCAGCCCAGCCCAGGAGGAGAGGCCTGGGACCCATGGCCAGTGGAGGCCAAACCAGGCACTGCTCATCCAGCAGAAGGACTGTCTCCTCCTCTCTCATCACACATTGGAAGATTTGTATTTTGCGACAGCACTCCAAGTATGGGGGAACTCTCAGCTCTTCCCAGTGTCTGGCCTAGGAGCCCCCAGGCCACGCATTGTTCTGGTCCGATAGGCTCCCTCCAGGGAGTGCTGCCCCTCTAGTCCTACTCCCAGCTCTGTCCATGGAAGGGACAACAGACTCCTTGTCCCCTAGCAGTCTCTCTTCCTTTTTTTTTTTTTTTAAAGATTTTATTTATTTATTTGAGACAGAGAGAATGAGAGAGAGAGAGCACATGAGAGGGGGGAGGGTCAGAGGGAGAAGCAGGCTCCCCACCGAGCAGGGAGCCCGATGCGGGACTCAATCCTGGGACTCCAGGATCATGACCTGAGCCGAAGGCAGTCGCTCAACCAACTGAGCCACCCAGGCGCCCTCTCTTCCTCTTTAATACCCATCTCAACTCCTTGGAGTCCTTCATCTCTTCCCTGTTGTCACCCTCCTGGCCAACACCCCTGGGGTGTTCCTAGCCCCTGTGCCATCTGGCTTCTCCAGCATCCAGAACAAACCCCTCTTGGACTGTGTCTCCTCAGCCTACTCGATCTTAGCAGAAAGGGCTCAGAAAACACCAAGCAAGGTCCTAGCCTTGGTCCCACATTCTCTGTAGACCCTCCAGAGTCACACGTGTATCAGGTAACATGTCCCCTCCTGGATTCTCTCTGCATGCCAGGGCCCACCCGGGCTCTCGGCCAGAGGCCTCCTCAACTCTTAGGCAGTGGGGCACATTTGGGAAGGCCCAGTCCCAGGCTGAGCCCAGCTCCAGTCAAGATCCTGTGGGTTTCTCAGGAGCTGGTAGCTTTAGGGCCCTGATATGAGTATGAGCTCTCTTCCCAGCTGCACATCTTGCCCCATCCCAATTCCACATCTTTTCCACTCCCCTGGGTACCACTCCCACTCCTGAACCCTCGCTTGTGGAAGACGTCACTATGTTCCCTGTCCAGAGACACACAGGAGGCCCTCCCTGAGCCCCCACACAGCTTCTCACAACTGGGCCCTGAGACTCCCACCTTGGAGAAAGCAGAGGTCTTCCTCTCCCCAAGGGGAGCTCCTCCACAAGAGCCCCCTGCCCAGCAGCCTTGCATCTCTCTGCCACCTGCCAGCATCACCCCCAATGGACTTGCTTCCTTCCACCTCATATGCACTCAGGTCTCTCTGTCCTAAACACATAACCACACATCTGCACAAATCCGTGCCTCCGCAAGTCCTTGGAGCAACCAGTCCCCTCCCTGCTTGTCCTGGAGTCAGGCAGGCATGAGAGTGCGGCCTCCATGCACTGACATCTCCACTCTGCTGCTCCTGGTTTCTCTCCATGGTCCTGAATGGTGGCTGTACGTCACAGATCCTGGGTCCATCCAGTCCTAAGGGTGCTCAACCCTCTTTGGTCCTTCACTCTGTCTAAGTTGGATTTCAGTTATTTATGTCCATGAGAATCTCAACCTTTCAGCCACTCAGAAGCTCCATAACTTCCCATCTCTAGGTTTTTGAGAAAACTGCTTGGCCCACCATGGCCCACCTCAACCATTCTATCCCACCTTGGTGTTCAGGACCCCACTCAATGGCTCCCCTGTCTCAGACCCACTAAGCAACCAAAATCTGCTTCACTGAGACCCATCAACACTTTGACGTTGCCCATCCCTTCTCCCCTGGTACTGACTTTATCTCTCCCTGCTCCTCTGGCCCAGGGCAGTGAGTGACACAGCAGGTACCTAACATTGACACTTTTCATAAATAAGCCACACATCTGTCCTACCCCATCCAGGGAGTCCTCACAGCTAGCCTCTTCTAAGAACAGGGAAGAGCACAGAGAGAAGGACTCAGGACACATGATGACAGGGCTTAGAGGGGCAGGGATAGTCTAACAGTACAGAGTAGGCCATTCTCAGAGCAACCAGGGGTCAGAGGAAAGAGGGGAGTCAGAGCTTGGGGTCAGAGTGCACAATGAAGGAATCCCAGGCCAGCCCATGCACACACCAGTGGGCTTCCCACTGTGGTCTCAGGGAACCCCTCAGCTCCCTTGATCTTTCTGGGGTCTCACCTACTAGGCCTGCCTTGGGGGTCAACGTGGCACTTGCCTGTCTGGGGTGAGTTTCATTTGGTTGTTGCTCTGTGAAGAGTATGTGATTATGGAGATCCTCAGGCTTGGGCTGGGGAGGAAGGACATGCTTGTGAGAAGCTATCAACATTGTCTCAAAATGAAGCCAGGGACAGTCAGGGAGGGAGTGCATGACAGTTTCCCTGCCCCCACCTCAAATCTTCTGTTTGGGGGCTCACTTTCCAAACCCCAGAACTTCCTGTAACTTTAGCAAAGAAATTCTGAGGCCTGTGAGATGGGCAGCCTTCCTGGAAGAGTGTGCAAGAATGGTATCCTGATCCATCCTTACACTCTCTCTAAACACACACACACACACACACACACACAAGCATGTGCACAATGCAACTCAAGGAGATAGACACCTTCACACTCCTGCATGAGGGTCTCCCAAATGGCCTCTCCTCTACTGCAACATATTTTGGATCCCCTTCCCTCCTCCTAACTCCTTCCCCACCTCCCTCTCTTCTCAAAAAGTTAATCTCCCTTTTGGTAGCCATTCATATACATCCCTTCATTTCCTCCCCTTGGTCACTGTTTTCTCATTTGCTGACTCTCATTCTCCCTTAGCTAAACTGCTCTTGGTTCTTCTCCCAACTCATTTTACCTCTATTATCAGACTTTCTTCCTAGAGCACAACTTTGATATTGTCAGACCCCTAAACAAGAACTATCTGTGGCTTTCTATAGCTCACAGCAGAAAATTCAAGCCCCATGGCCTGGCATTATGAATCACTGTGTTTTGGCTCTAAGCTAACCCATCTGGCTTCATCTCTCAGCCCTCCCCTGAGTTAACCCTATTCTGCACCCAGACGGACCTCTCATTCCACAAGAAGTCTCCTTGATGGTTCCGGTTACCCTGTTTTTCCCATCCTTCAAGAAATAGATCAAATTTCACATCCCCTGGGAAGCCATCCTTGACTTTTTTCTGTGAATTCTTAATTTTTCCTTAAAGTTGCCTTAAGTCCTTTGCCTTTTCTTTTGGGCCCTGACATCATTTAATCAAGTGTTTATTTACTGCTACTGGTTTGCTTGTTTCCTAATCTGTTAGGTCCTCAAGAGCAGACTGTATCCCCAGCAATATGGCCTGACTCTCAGGCAGGAGCCAGTCAAAGATGTCACGACGCAATGGAATGACTGTGATGTCCTTCTTTCCTGTTTCAAGACACTGCCCTGGGCTCTATGCTCCTGACCCGAGGGATGCCCATGCCCACTGAGCTAAAGAGCTGTGTACTCTGCCTGGCAGAGGGAAACACAAGCCTACTTTGTGAACTTCTTCAGCAGTTCCTCCACAAGTTTGTGAATTTCTTTCCAGGATTCTTTTGCAGTTTCTGACCTGAAAACCAAAACAACATTGATCAGAGGGGTTACATGCCTCCATCAGGTAGGCAGCATTTCTGCCTCCCCACCTCCCACAGACCCTTTAGCAAGCTCATCCCCAGCCCACATAGCTGATGTCTGTCACACACCCTCAGCAACCTTAGTGGGTCACCATGGTGGTGACTATCATCAGTGTAAGTGGTGGGGAGGATGACCACATAGACCCATGCTTGAGAGATTTTTTATTTTGGCCTAATTAAATCTCCCTTCTGCACTAAGAGATTCTCTAGTATTTTTTATGCTTTTTTTCCGGTTCAACTA